TAGCCTTCTATGATGGAATGACCATCTGGGTAGATGAGGGGAGAGCGGTGGATGTCATCTGTCTGGTCACCTGTGTGTCAAAGCTTTTGACACTGAGGAGAGACCGAGAGAGCTGGACCTGTTCAGCCTGGAGAAGAGAAGACTGAGAGGGGACCTGATCAGTGTCTGTAAGCACCTCAAGGGAGGGAGTGAGGAGGATGGGGCTGGCCTCTTTTCAGTGGAGGCCACCAGCAGAACTAGAGGTAATGGCCACAAACTGAAACACCAGAAGTTCCACAGGAACTTAAGGAAAAAATTTTAATGGTGAGGATGGTGGAGCACTGGAACAGGTTGCCAGGAGAGGTTGTGGAGTCTCCTTCTCTGGAGATCTTCAAAGCCCGCTTGGACGCAGTCCTGTGCCACGTGCTCTAGGTGACCCTGTGTATGCAGGGGGATTGGACTAGATGATCTCTAGAGGTCCCTTCCAACCTTCAGCATTCTATGATTCTATGACCTCAAGGTTTCTTATTCAGCTTTTGGGAGTATAGAAAGCCATTTGATTTGCCAGTGGTCATCTGTGGTATAATCTGTGCTCTTGCTTACCTACCTTTACATTCCCCTATAAGTCATGTATTATATTTTTCTGATCAGTGTCATATCAACAGGGAAAGAAATCTGTATTCATTAAAGCACCATCAGTGAGTGCAAATACATTGTGATTCAATTTAGCTCATTTTAAATTACGTCTTTCTCTTCTGTTTTGTATCAGCTGAAACTGCAGTCAGTTACTCAGCTACAGTTGCAGATACTTCTACAAAGCTGAGTATCTGAGCTGTCTGAAATTAAAACGGGAAAATTGACATAGCCTAAACTGACATAAGGGAAACTTTTATTAAGTGTAATTCTCTATTGTTCATTCAGTTAACTTTTGAGTGGCTTCTGAGCTGCTGCCTATGTAACTGTTGGTGTTTGTTAACGTGGGCCAATCTTGCCTGTGTATTTGTGTGTAGTCATACTGCTGGTTTTGTGATAAAATTTATCACTTTTGTCAGTACAACCAGGCAGCTTATATTGTTTCAGGAAAATATGCCTGAAGTTTGAGTAGTTGTCCGTATTTCTGTTTTTATAGTGGTTTGGGATTTAAAGAAAATACTTCGCAGAAGTCTGAATTTATCAATATCATTATTGTTTTTAACCAGACTGTCTTTTGTTGAAAATGTTTATTCACATGAATTACTGTTGTTGTTGTTGTTTTAACTGAATACTTTGCCAGGCATTCCACTGTTTAACTAGAGGCTTATTTTTATCCTAATCAACCTGTATTTAGGTAGTACTAATGTTATCATATCCGTTATAGTGATTTATAACTGGATTGAACACTTAGTGGTGGTGGATGATGAGGATGCTTTAGAAAGAACTACTGTAATAACTGAACTTCACATGGTACTTGAGACTGACCTTTAAATCCTGTTTTAGCGTGGAGGAATTTCTAGGAGGTCAGAAAGACATTGCCAAAATGTGAAATTGCACAACATCCCCCCAGAGTTGAGTGAAGAGCTGTAGCAGCTTCTGTTCAGGAATGTTACGACTGTAGCCTTTGTTGGAATTAATTCCTCGATTTTTTGGGGAGGAATGTAACTACATGGATAGTGATTCTTTCATTTCTGTATTTAATCCTCTTTTTAGGATTATTTAGGAGATAACATCAGTCATTAACCCTTACCCAAGATGTTTAATAACTAAAATCAGTCATTTGTTTTCCAATAACAAGAAAAAGGGACTTAGTGTTTTGGTTTTTTAATTTTTCCTCTGCTCTATGTGCATTATACCTAAAAGCAGTAAATAGTGCCCAGAAGACGTAGTGTTCCTTACCCAGTAGGGTTAGGGTTTGCACCACTGAAAGCAGAAGTGCTGCATCTTTCAGTGTTTCTTCACTAGCTGATTTTTCCTCAGGTCAGCTTTCTTTCAAATTACTGCAAGAAAATACTGGTATTTTGCTTTTGACATTGCCCCTGGTTGTGGAAAGCTTCTCAGCTCTCCAAGAGAGAATCATCAATGTAATTGCTTCCTGTAATAGCCAACTGCTGCCGTCCTTCACCAAATTCAGACACCTCGCTAAACTGAAACTTTGATTATTCCTTGGGCTCATAAAGACAGTAGTCTGCTGGTTCTTGAAACTGTTTCCCTCCCTCTCCTCCGCTTAAGAATTTGCAGCTGCAGAAATTTTATCTCAGTTTATGAAAAACTACATTGCCAAGGAGGGGAGAAGTGATGGGGAGATTCTGTCCTGGTGCAGCTCTGTCAGTGCCCCTGCCATGCGGGTCCCCTGCTCTCCCTGCTGAGCTCCCGAGCGTGCCCCTGTGCCTGCTCCCTCTGCACCCTTGCCCCTCCAGAAGCCTGGGAATTTTTGCAAGCATTTTTATCAACACTATTGTTTTATTTTAATAGCCTTTGTTTTTTTTCTTCATCCTCCTGATATATTTATAGACAGTGATCAGATCCAGTTTCTTTATTGTTGTTGGACTAAATATTTTCTGTATTCTGTCACTGTTGTCATTCTCCTAGCATTGCTTTTCTGTCCTGTTCTTTTCTTGAATTTATACAATGTCATTAATACTGTTTTTATCACTACTGGAAACATATAATTTAATATATGCTATTTTTTCTTTTTTAGTCTATGACTGTTTCACAGTAGTAATTTTCCTATCAAAGAAAGGCACTATGACTAAGCATTGGATTATGCTTCTCCTCTTTGTTTGTGTAGCAGCATTTGCTACTTTTTATATTTCAAGAACAGCCTTCAGGGAGTGTTAGGTGTCCAGATCTCCAGATAAGGTCCTTCATCTCGTACAGCATAACTTTGCTAACTCTTCTTGCTGAAGACTTTGTTTGCCAGGAAAGACCAGTTGAGGTGTGACAGTGCGACCCAGGCATCAGACGATTAGGTTTCCTTTATTTTTATTTTCTGAGAATACCGTAAGTTTAGATTTTGGGGTCTTGAATGCAAATTGCAGCCAGGGTGATGTGATTCTTCTATCCTGCTGAAAGAATTAACCTGCACGAGGGCTGATGATACTCTTTAAAATGTTAGTTAGCTGAGTTTGGTTAGTTAGTGGTGTAAATCTTAAACTGATCAGACTGCTCTGAAGCATAAATTGACTTTTTGACAAGCGCTTGCTAAAGTAGTTATTAGAAAAATAATTAATTTTTTTCATTTGGCTGACTCAAGGAAAATTTAATGTCCCTCCTTTCCTCCTTAATTTCTACTCAGTGAAACTTCTAGTCACCTTGTGTTTCAAAGTTTAGAGGCAGGCAATTCAACCAGTTTACTGTTCAGTAAGGTCATTTTAAATAAGAAATGTAACATAACACTTTCTTCATGTATTGTTCATATAGAAGTAAATGTTTAATTTTAAAAAATAATGGTATTTTTGCATACCTGATAATCACAGAATCACAGAATGGTTGAGGTTGAAAGAGACCTCTAGAGATCATGTAGTCCAACCCCCCTGCTCCAGCAGGGACACCTATAGCTTATTTTATTTACAGTCTCCTATGTTAATACAAATTGGGAACAACGGCCGTTGTTCTGTGCAGCTCCCTAGATGTCCCAGCTGGTCAGGAATACAGAATTCCCCTCTACAGGGGGCAGGAGCAGAACCCAGGGCACTGCCCATGTGGGATGGGCTCCCCGAAACGCGCAGCCCCCCTGCTGGTCCCAGGCCTGGCCCTGCCTCACGTCCTCGCTGCGCCGGGGTCGTCCTGCCGCGGTGATCGCCTCTCTCATGGGGAGCGATGGACACCTCTCTGTAGCTCGTTCTTGCTGTGCTGTTATCTGGACACAGGCAGAGCACACGGGTGCCGGATCCAGGTGGCAGCTCGGGGGCAGGCAGAGCCAGAAACTCAGGATAGGGCGGGGAAATTGGCAGCGGAAACGTGAATTCTGCGTAGATGAGGCAATGGACTGTCTACCTGGGAGATTTTGGAACAGGTCTGTCCTTTTGTTGTCGTTGGACTAGAAATAAAATAAATAGCTGGTATTTGAGATCTGGGTAGGTCAAAAAGTAGGATAAAGAAACATTAAAAATATGGTCAGTGGTAAAAATGTCTCATTTACTTTTTTTTCGCCCCGCCCCCTGTGTAAGTTTATAACTAGATCTTAGATTTTGACTTCTTGTGAAGAATTTGCATTTACTTGCCACAGAATTGATTTGCCCGTGTTACTTCTTTAATGCCCTCCATGTTGTTATTGATACCAGTTAAAGTTTGCAGAAAAAAAATGTATGGACATATATCCAGACTGTGAAAGTATATTTTAAATGTATGTATTATTTTCTGGTAAGATAACTGTTTTATTGAAACAGAGAACGGGTTTTATTTCTAGCTTTGTTTCAGGGCTGGTAGTTCGGGAGAGGGGGAGCGATGTTGGCTGCATGTTGTTCAGGTGGGACTGGTTCTCACAGCAGCCCTCAGGGCCCCACGGCTTAGACCCTGAGTGAATGTGAGGTAACAAGCGCTTTGCAAGGAGCAGCCCTCTCTGAAGGGGTGAAAAAGTGAGCATTGGATGAGCACTCATGATCCTGAACACTGACCGCAAAGCTGGGAACACAATTTGAATCTTCTTTTTCCAAATCGCTGTCCATGCTGCCTGACTGCTTCTGCTGCTTCTGCATCTCAGCATGTCACACAGTTTGTTCATTTGAAGCTGTTAGTATTTAGCACCTCTGAAGTCAGGACCATAAGCATTCCTTTTAGATACAGAAATACTGATTACATCACTTTTTTTTTTTAAACCTTATACAGTTGTTCTAAACTATGTACATTGTCATTTACACAAGTGCCTTGGCATCCTCAAAGGTAAGGGGTGATAAACTTGCAAAGTAATTACCTTTTAACAGATGTTATGAACTAGTATATTCTGCCATTCTCTGTTTAGAAACATGCTACTTGGCTGAGCATTTTACATTCAGAGATAAGTACTTTTTAGTAAGGTATATGTGTAATTTTTTCTTTTTAAAGGCTAAAGCTACAACTTCTGACATGGCCACAGCCTCACCAAGATCTGATACAAGTAACAACCACAATGGAAGATTGCAGATGCAAGTAACAGGCAAGTAGTGATTTTGCACCATAGCCATTTTTACAGGGAAGTGTATATTCTAGAAAAAGCAGGTTTGGAAAGCTGTGTGTAGTTAATATTTTATTAAATAATTTAAATATGATTAAAAAAATAGCATATAAAGATGGATTGAAGCTAGGTAGAGTTGATACAATGAGCTGAATGACAGGGTTAAACGAGCTCTTCAATCCAAAAAAAAAAAAAAAAAAAGGTACAACAGTGAGGCAGTGAGGGCAAGGGCAAATGTGAAGGACTTCACTTATTCCATCCAGGGAGCAGTGGTCACTGAAGTAAGACAGAGAAGGAAAAAAAAAAAAAATAAGGGGGGGTAGTCGCAGTGAACTGCAAGCTGAAAGTGGGTACACTGTTACAGTGAACTACTGGAAGACATTCTTAAAATCTGTTAAATTTTCAAGGAGGAGAAAAAAAATAACCGTCTTTGATTACATATCATGAAGAGTTCTGTTGGGAATAGTGTTGGGGATCTGTGTCATCCTTAGGGCAGCAGGATGCACTACATGGTTGTATAGAATCAATTCTGTTGGAAAGAAGTTCTGGAGATCTAGACCAACCTCGCACTGAAGGCAGAGCCACCTATGACACTGGATCAGGTTGCTCTAGGTTGTTGTCCAAACTTCCTGGGCAGAGTGTTCTAGTGATAAACCACATTCATTGTGGGAAGGTTTTTCCTTTCATGTGATTGGAATTTCCTGTGTTGCATCTTGTGATTGTTTCCTCTTCCTTGCTCTGCTGGTCTCAATTTGAGGTGAACTTTAGTCATCCCAGTATCTGCTGGAAGGGAAATGCAGTGGGGTACATTCAGTTCTGGAAACTTCTGATTGTAACGGTGCCTATTCTTTTGATAGATCCTGGGCAGGCTGAGTAGGTTATGAGCTCTGCTGGCTGTGCTATTCATGAATAAAACTGGTCATGGATGTGATAATGAGTGTCCTCTTTAGCTGCTCTTGCTATTGAGTGTCAGAGGAGGATAAAGATCTATTGTAGTCTGAGGAGAAGCAAAGTAGATAGAGGTAAACAAGCTAATTAATTACTGAAACACTGCCATAATTAGATAAATGAAAAAATATTAACAGCAAATAGTTAGAAATGTTTTACTAAATATGTATACACGCAAATGGATGTATACATGTAGATGTGTGTATATAAATACTATTTTACCAGAAATACGTAACTTGAACTCTTCCAGGGATCCTGAGAAATCTGAGGACCCTAAAGTAAGAATGAATGCATGACCAAGAATTTATTAAGGTTATTTTGAACAAAGCTTGGAAAAACATGAATAAGACACAGTGTCTTAGAAAGTGCATCTGAAGAACGTTGCATCGTGATGGATGATCTAAAGATGATCAGGTTATCTTAGGAAGCCTATATCAGATAGTCCCCAGAATGGTTGTTCTGTCAAATTAAATATAAGAGAAAGCAATCAGCATTGTATAAGCATCACATAATTTGATGGTGTAAAAAATCATCAAAATTGAGCCTAACTAATAGATGGAGTTATCTTCAGTATATAGCAATGTAATAAACTGAGTTACAGATGCCCCAGATCTTCAGAACCGGGTATGCAGAAGTGATCGCTTTGTAACCTGTACCGTTCTGCTGCTTAGCAATACTCTTGTGTTTTCCTGGCACGTGAACTTCTCTGACTTTGAGACCTGATTTCAGGCATAAAAGCTGGCAAAAATCAGTGCATTTTTTTTTAGGTTTAGTTTTCTGAAGACTTAGTTCTCTAACCAGTCCTTATTGCTAGATCAGTGGCAGTACAAGTGAAGAGGTGGGAGGCAGAAGTGTGACCTTTGCTGACCTAGGCTGGTCTAAGCTCAGACTAGTTCATACTATGGTTTCTGTAATTATGTTTCAAGAACTATAGTTGAAAAGCATTATTACAAAAGAAGCAAGTAGATTTCATCGGTTTGCAGACAGGGAAGTTCATGTGAAGTAGTGACTTGTTCAGGACTAGATAGTTGACAATGTGTTCACAACAAGTTGTGCCATCAACATTTTTTCAAATGTACTTAGTGAGATACCATGTCTTGTCATTTCTTTTAGAAGTCTTTGAATAGTTTTGTTTATTACTTCTGTTTCTTTTTTTGAATATGAAATTGCACTGTTCACCTCATATTTGGGGACTCAAAGCCTCAAGACTTATTTTTTTCCCTTTTCTCTAATTAAATTTTTATGAAAGACTTATATATTACAAATAGATACCTATTTTTTGTAAATGTTGTAGTTGCTATTAAAAATAAGATATGGAAGAAAAATAAATGTGGAAGAAACAGAGATTTCTGCAGGTTAAAAGGGTATCACTTCTGTTTAATGACACATGTGGGACCTGTTCTGAAATTTTCAAATGCAAGGAAGTATAAATATTTCTACTTCATTTCCTCTACAAGATGTGTCTCATGTCTTTCAAATGTTGGATAATTGCATTTCAATAACCTGCAGCTAACTAATGTATACTTTTCAAAATTCTGTAACCTGGAAGTATAGGGCAGCCTTTTTTAGTCTTCCTTTCTGGCAGTTTATTTACCTTTCACTCTAGTTTCCTGTATGATATTTACTATTCTGAAAATAATGGGGAAGGATTAATTGAAGTGGTTGAAAAGCTT